TGAAGTGTGTTGAAAGGGGAGGAGGAGGAGAAAAGCAAAGGTATTGGAAATGTGCCGGTGGGGGCGTTAAATGAAATGTAGATATTTCTTTCATCCTGGTTAATACGAAATCTTACTTATTATAAAACGCAGATTGTGTGTGCGTGCGTGTGTCTGTTCGTTTATATATTGGATCGGATTTCCTACATTTTTCAACCGATTTCAACAAAACTTCACAGGGCTACGTAAAATTACCTTGCGGTGGTTCTGACAGCACCAAAAATTAGAAAAACAATAGTTTTTGCACGAAATCAATTTGAAAACACGATTAAGAGTCATCGCTGACGCTAGAATGAAAGGGGGACAACTCATATCGAGTTGTACTTATTATAAAACCCAGTTTGTGTGTGTGTGTGTGTGTTCATTTATATATGGGATCGGATTTCCTACATTTTTCAACCGATTTCAACAAAACTTCACTTTTTTTTGCAGGTAGTGTTTCTTATTGTCTTGCACACTTTTTTCTTTATTTTTACATTCAGAATGCTTTAAAAATTCCATTTACAAGACAATTGTTTATAATAAAATTCTATTCAATCGATAGACTCATAACGATTGAAAACAATGATTTTGTTTGAGTTTGACTGAGTCGTAAAAAAACAAAAACAAAAACTAATTAAGACATGCGTGTCCGTCAACCTTAAACAATGATCTTTGTCAATTTTATTTTCCAGTCTTTATGATGGTCGATACTTGATCTATCTCTTACTGTTATATCCCAGGGCAACGCCGGGCTCTACTGCTAGTCATATATAAAGCGTCCATTAATTAAAAAAAAAAATAAAGCGTTAAAAACTCAATTGACAAGAATCGCCTGAAGATACCAAAAGTTTGAAAGCGATGTAGCGGAATCAGTTGAACTCCTAATTCATATATATATATATATATATATATATATATATATATATGTATATATATATATATATATATGTGTGTGTGTGTGTGTGTGTGTGTGTGTTTTATATATATATATATATATATATATATATATATATAAGAGGTAAGATAAAGAACAAGGCGATTTCGATCAACTGATTTTCTAAGGCTTTATTTATTAAAAATCAATGAACGCGTATTATTAAAAATAAATAACTAAACGCACGACGTTAAATGGGATAGACGGGGGGGGGAGAGAAAAGCAAGGGTATTGGAAATATATAAGTTAAATGAAATATACATACTTACTTTTCATCCTACTTTAAATGAACTCAAAAGGAACTATATATATATATATATATAACAATAACTTACCACTTGAGTTTAGAAGATTCACGCATTCTTATCTATCAATATCTATGATTTTTATGTTCGAATAAAATATCATTTGCTAGGAGGTTGCATTGAATATCATTTAATATTTAAGGTGTCTGATCGATAGTACTTCTTCATGGGTACTGAATCTAGCATCAATCATCAAATTTCTATTTGAATTATATCTCTCTGTCTCTCTCTTCATATATATAACCCTTCTCCGGCTGTTGGTTAACTCACAGAACAGACTGAGCCTAGAGCCATGGTTAGTTACCAGTCTACCACAGCAAGAAACGGCAGCCTATTGCGAGAAATTCTTCTACCGAATCAATCACGTATCGGAAAAGCATCGACCGCCCATGTCTGTATCAATTGTATACATCGGGCGAATCTGTTTATTATATGATATCAATAGAAAATCGATGGCCTGTTGTTTTATTAATACATTGATACTCATGATGTCAAAAATGACGTCGTAATTTGCTTCCTGGATATTTCGTTTTCCAATATGAATATTTTATCGGGTAATTGAACATCATCAGGAAGTGTGATCGAAAATTATCCTCCTTTTTTTTTCAAATGTATTTAATCACTAGCAATCAAGATTACGAAGATCTAAGTTTGTTTGTTTTTTTATTATAACACACACACACACACACATACGTATATATATTAAACAATAAAAAATATTAAAAAATTAAAGTCTTCTGACATACTGGGTTGTGTATTAATATCCTTTCGTTTTATTATTTCAATTAGGTTCTTTGATTAGCTTCAGCCAGCATGGCCATTATCAGGAGAAAAAAATTTCTGCTTGTTAGTAGCGATGAATTAGAGGAATGAATGACAGTTTCTGAAGAAGTTTTCATTTGTTTTTTATCGTTAATTTTGGTCAGTCCTTGTGTTGGTCAAAAGGCCTCTTTTAAGCTATTTTAAGGTAGAGGATGGGAGATTCCTGACTTTAAGAAATCTATATATATATATATATATATATATATATATATAGAGAGAGAGAGAGAGAGAGATTTGTTATCGGACAGCAGAGATCAATCCACATGTGTGACACCTTTGGAAAGTGCCTGAAAACCGTACCACACCTTGTGAGTGAAATTCGGTAGACGCATTCAAAAATTATAACATAAACATGATATAACATCACTGTAAGCATAGCCGTTTTGTTTCAACACTTCTGGTGACTTATCAAATAATAGTGTTTATTACGAATGAACACCATCACTTGATAAACACCAGAAGTGTTTAACCAAAATGGCTATTTTTGTAGTAATGTTATAATATGCTTATGTTATAATATTTGAATAAATATTATTTGCTCTATTTTGTATTGAGCACTTTTTTCAAAAATAGTGTTTTTAGTTAAGGAATTTTATTCCAGCTATACCAACCCTGCACTCGTATATATATATATATATATATATATATATATATATATATATATATATATATATATACTAGCAGCACGGCCCGGCGTTGCCGTGCTTGATTCAAAAATCGTAAGACTCATACAGCAATCGCTATCACTTGACTTAAATATTTTGCCCTTCCTTGCCTTTAAAAGAAGTGCCTTTTGCCGTGCTGCTGTTGCTACATGCCTTACTTCTTGCCTATCTCACACTGCGAATTTTTTCTAAGCTCTATACTAAACATTAAATCTGTTACGAAAAAAGAACGAAACAAAATGAACACAAAATGATCAGCTTTAAAAAGGACTCGTAACTAGAAAAACCGAATGAAAAAAGAATGTTAACAAATACTTTTTCACACCTAACCCAGTTCTGCGGAATGAGAATCAACGTAGAGTTTAAACAAGGGAATGAGCCAACTGCAGTAAAGTGCCATGCAGATTTAAATTTTTCCCACTTGTGACGAATGCAGCTATCGACTTTTTTGCATGTTATCATGCTAGTTAATATTCGTGTCTGTCAGCTGTTGGCTCTCACGCTGGCCAATAGAATTTTCCTGCCTATTCATGGCAGCGAGCTATTGGCTCTCAATCTGGCCAGTAGAAAATGGCTGCAAACTACATGAAAACTGCCGTAGAAGCAGGGAAAAAAAAAGATTATTTCCACTATCGATGGGTGTTGGGAAATGCAAAGTCGGTCTTGGCCTTCTCGCTAACTTGGAGCATGTGCATGTAAATTTTGGTGCAAATCCGTCGAAAATTGCGGCCGTGCATTCGTTACACACACACACACACACACACACACACACACATACCTTCTATATATATATATATATATATATATATATATATATATATATATATAACTTGCGATGATGTTGCATTGAATAGCATTTAACATTTAAAGTGTTGGATCAATAAACTCTTCTTTAACTGGTGTATTTAGTTCAATCATTTCCCCCCACCCGAAGAAATCGAGATATAAAATCCGGTTGTCGATTCAACCATTTTGATTCGTCTTCCGCCGATCGGGCAAATCTATATTTTTTGCCACCATTTTATTGCTTTGCTTGAAGTTGCAATTTATGTCACTCGACTTGAAGGCGTAGATTTAAAAGTGACGCGGAGTACGTTCTGCCGTTTACCCTCGATGCTGTGTAAAATGCACGTTTTCTTTATTTTTTTTGGTGGTGGCTCGGTCGGGGAGTTTGTTTTTTTATCGCAGTAACGGTTACTCGGGCAAATAACAGATATTTCGCATGAGAGGCGGGTGTAAAAAAAAAAGAACAAAGTATTAAGAGTTATATACTGACAGAATGGAAGAGATTGCGAGATGGATAGATATAAAGAAAATTGAAGAGAATAGAACAAATTGATATGATTAAGATCGAAATATATATAGTAAAAATAACCTTTATAGTTATAAGAAATAAAGTCGGATAAAAAATACTTTAATATATATATCTTTATATATATATATATAGAGAGAGAGAGAGAGATAGATAGATAGATTGATTAAGTATGGATAGAAATTCCACAAGATAATAGGATAAAGAACAAGTAGGAAACAGATATCATTCTAACATGTTTCACTTTATTAAAGCTTCGTCAGAGATATAACATATATATATATATATATATATATATATATATATATATGTGTGTGTGTGTGTGTGTATGTATAGTAAGGGGTAGATTGTGAGAGACAATTTGAACATATTGAGATAGATAGATAGATAAAGAAATGATCGATATATATACTACATCTCTCTCTCTCTATATATATATATATATATATATATATATATATATATATATATATATATACTGACAGAGAGAGAGGAGAGAGGTCGGCGTAATAATTGAGATAGATAAATAAGAAATCACTGAGATAAGACCAAACTGTTATATATAGTGTGTATATATATATAAAGTTAAAAATTTATAAAATTTATATATATATATATATATATATATATATATATATATATATATATATATATATATATATATATATATATATATATATATATATATATATATATATATATATATATATATATATATATATATATATATATGTATGTATGTATAGAGAGAGAGATTGGTAGATAAGAATTGACTGACATAAAACCAAACTGATATATAAATGTACGTATATATATATATATATATATATAGAGAGAGAGAGAGAGAGAGAGAGAGAGAGAAAGAGAGATAGATAGAGACAGACAGACGTAAGCAAAACCTAGATTAATAAGGATTAAGTGTTAGATATATTAATATGAACAGCCTGATATATATATATATATATATAGATAGATAGATAGATAGAGAGAGAGAGAGAGAGAGAGAGAGAGAGAGAGAGAGAGAGAGCGAGAGATGGCGATAGGTAGGTAAATAGACAGATAGATAGATAGATAGATAGATAGATAGATAGATAGATAAGAAATGAGTGAGATAAGACCAAACCTATTTACATAAGGAGTAACTGAGATAGACACATAAACATTAAGGAGCTGATATATTGATTTACATATATTTACATTTCGAAGAAAATTAAGAAAGGTAATGTTAGGTGGAAATATCTTTGAGAAAAAGAATGCGAGAAATCGATAACAAGAGATAAAGAGAGATCGATAGAGTGTGAGACCAACAAACAGATTGAGAGAGAGAGAGAGATAGCAATATAGAGAGAGAGTAAGAAAGTAACTAAGGAGAACACGATATAACAATGATAAACGGGGGTAAAGATTTCTTAAAAAATGAATCATAAATTCCTGAAAGTCAAAAACGTAAAATAATGAAAAGGAAAGAAAAAACCCTCCCAAATCCCACCTCACACAGATAAGAAAGAAAGACAAACAAATGTAATATAAATTGTCATATAATAATGTTAATGTTTTCTTTTAATTCGAATGAAAGTGTTTTTTCTTCTTTTGTTCCAGAAATATAACGAATAAGAAATTCAACCAAGAGTGGAAAGAATGAACAGACTAAAAAAGAAAACAAAAATATGTTACCTCTAAAGCTTAGAGAGTAAAAAAGGGAGGTAATAAAAAAATCTTCGAAAAATAATAATTGAAAAAAAAAAGCAAATATTCACACACCATAGCAACTCAAGCTAGAATCCTTCATTCACAACATCTCCTTCCCCTGACACTTCACAAGAAGAATGTTATACTTACATTTTTTTTCTTCTTTATGCTTGTATATTTCATGATCAATTCTTTTTCAATGATTGAGCAGATTTAAATGTGGCGCCAACAACTAAGAAAACATTCCTTAAAGATTTGACCAAACTCTCCAATCGAACGCAAATGGCCACTGGTTGTGGGCATGCTTTAACATGAATATGTCCAGAACTGTATCTTTTTAAGGCCGCTCTTGCCTCCCTCCTCGTACTGTCTGGACGAGCATCCATCCGTTTTATGTTCCGAGTTTAGATGTAATGCTAATATTGTTCACAGGTCCATTATACGATAATCAGATTTTCTTTGCATCTTTCTTGAGTTCAGTCCAGCGTCAAGAATGATTTGATAACACCGACGAGGAGTTAAGAAATCAAATTTTGACGTTCTCCTTCTTATTCAAACTTACCGTCGGACCCACATTACACAGACCACTTCGTCACTCAGCTTCGACTTTTTTTTTTATATTCGGAGATTCACCCTTCTTCTTGTTCTTGTTCTTCTTGTTCTTGTTCTTCTTCTTCGTTTTGAAAATTTCTTGCCTAAATCTTCATTTTTCTTGTTCACTTGCATTTATCTCCCCTTCTCTTTCTTCATTTGTATTTCTCTTTCATTCTTCTTCTTCTGCTTCTTCATTTGCATTTCTCTTTCTTTCCCTCTTCATTCCTTTCTTCTTCTTCTTCTTCTTCTTCTTCATCTATTCGTTTTTTTGTTTTTCTTCTTCATTTTGCATTGAATTTCTTATCCCTTTTCTTTTTCCATTTTTAAGACTTATTTTCTTTCATCTTTTCTTTCTTTCTTCTTCGTCTTTGATATTTATCTTCCTGTTTTCGTCTTATTCTTTATTTATATTCCCTTTTCTTCTTCTTACCATTTTTACGATTGTGTTTCCCTTTCTTTCTTTCTTTCTTTTCTTTCTTCTTTCTTTTTCTTCTTCGTCTCCGATATTTATCTTCCTGTTTTCGTCTTATTCTTTATTTATATTCCCTTTTCTTCTTCTTACCATTTTTACGATTTTGTTTCCCTTTCTTTCTTTCTTTCTTTCTTTCTTTCTTTCTTTCTTTCTTTCTTTCTTTTCTTTCTTTCTTCTTCTTCGATATTTATCTTCCTGTTTTCGTCTTATTCTTTATTTATATTCCCTTTTCTTCTTCTTACCATTTTTACGATTTTGTTTCCCTTTCTTTCTTTCTTTCTTTTCTTTTCTTTCTTTTCTTTTCTTTCTTCTTCTTCGTCTCCGATATTTATCTTCCTGTTTTCGTCTTATTCTTTATTTATATTCCTTTTTCTTCTTCTTACCATTTTTACGATTTTGTTTTGTTTCTTTCTTTCTTTTCTTTCTTTTCTTTCTTTCTTTCTTCTTCTTCGATATTTATCTTCCTGTTTTCGTCTTATTCTTTATTTATATTCCCTTTTCTTCTTCTTACCATTTTTACGATTTTGTTTCCCTTTCTTTCTTTCTTTCTTTCTTTCTTCTTCTTCGTCTTCGATATTTATCTTCCTGTTTTCGTCTTATTCTTTATTTATATTCCCTTTTCTTTTTCTTTCCATTTTTACGATTTTGTTTCCCTTACTTACTTTCTTTCTTTCTTTTTTTTGTTCTTTCTTCTCCTTTTCCTATTCCCCTTCTTCTAAATTCACCTATTTCATCTTTTCCTCTCTATCATTCTTACAATTACTTTCTACTTAATTGTTACCCTTTCTTATCCCATCGCTCTCTTCTTTTCTCTCTAATTTAGCCGCTCTGCTTTTCAGTATTTCACTCTATGCCTACTTTTATTTTCACTGATACGTTTGCTTTCTTTTTTCTTTTTCCTCTTTCGTTTTTCATCGATTTATTGACGACGGCCTCTTCGCATTTCTTTAACGTAGCTTTTTTTTTTCCTTTTTTAATTATTTTTTTTATCATGTCATATTTCTTCATATCTTATTTTTTCATTTGTATTTTTTGTTATCTCTTTCTAGTTTCTTTCATTCTTTCTTTTGTCGTTCTCTCTCTCTCTGTCTGTCTGTCTATCTATCTATCTATCTATCTATCTATTGTTCTTTCTTTATTTATTTCTTTTTTCATTTGTATTCTTTGTTTTCTCTTTTTATTCCTTTGAGTTTCTTTTCTTTTTTTTCTTTCATTCATTCATTCTTTCTTTCTTTCTTTCTTTTTTAATTTGCTTTCTTTGCTATCTCTTCCTTTCCTTTGAGTTTTTTATTTTTTTCATTCTTTTTCTTTTTGTTCTTTTTTCTTTTTTCTTTCTTTCTTTTATATTTTTCTTTCTTATTTTCTCTTTACTTGTCTTACTACCTGTCTAATTCATCCTTTCTTTCTCTTTGGAAGTTTTATTTTTCCCTTTTCCTTTACAGGTTCTTTCTTTCTTTCTTTCTTTCTTTCTTTCTTTCTTTCTTTCTTTCTTTCTTTCCACCGATCTAATTCTTTCTTGAATTATTATTTTTTTTACTTTTTCATTCACAAGTTCTGTCTTTCATTCTTTTTTGCATTTTATTAATTCTTTTTTCTTTTCTTTTATCCCTATATGTGTAATTCCTTTTTGAAATTTTCTTTCTTTCTTTCTTTCTTTCTTTCTTTCTTTCTTTCTTTCTTTCTTTCTTTCTTTTCGTCTTTCTCTACCTGTCAATTTTTTCTTTCTTTCTTGAAATTTTCTTTTTCCTTTAAAGAAATTTTCTTTCTTTCTTTCGTTCTTTCTTTCTTTCTTTCTTTTTTTCTTTCTTTCTTTTTCGTCTTTCTCTACCTGTCAATTTTTTCTTTCTTTCTTGAAATTTTCTTTTTCCTTTAAAAAAAATTTTCTTTCTTTCTTTCTTTCTTTCTTTCTTTCTTTCTTTCTTTCTTTCAGGTTTTCAACATTTCAAAATGTTTCTCTTTATTCTACTAATCCCTCCTCCTTTTCTGTTCTCTTTTTTTCCCATTCGCAACCAAATCTCCATCCCCGATTCCCTGACACCATCGCCCACATCTCTTCTCCATTTCCTGCTTATTAATTTAATAATTTGCTTCCCGTTTCTCCTTTTGTGAATTTTCTTGTTTTTCAATCATTCCCGACCCCACTCCCCGTTACCCCCCCTCCTAAAATCAGAACGATTCAGATTTCTTCCTTCTCCAACCTATTTGTTTATTCAGCGTTCTCTTCTGTTTCTTCATCCCTATCTCTTTTTATTTTCGTATTTTAATAGTTTCGTTATCCACACCAGCGAGGCCGTTCCATTTCCAAATTCCTATTCGATTCTTTTCATCATCATTCAATATTTTGGGCTAATGTTTTATGAAATTCCTAACCGGACAACGAAACGAAGCGATAAGAAAAAATAGAAAAAAAAATACCGATATTTCTGATGAGTACAAACGGTATATTTACTGGATGCACGTCTTTCACTCGACATCTCAGTTTTCATTGTATTTTAACCGGGAAATTAGTCCGTCACCCTAGATATCGAAAGAATTACTACAGAAAAATGTACCTCTAAATAGGAATCGAACTTTTTCTTAATTTGGTAAACCATTTTCAAGTCAAGAAAGCGTTATGTTGATTCATTGGTCTTGTTTAGCGGCGCATCAACACTTCTATGGGTTGTTTAAAGCCAAGATCTAAATATTTTGTACATAATTTTATTCTTTCAGAGTAAAGATGTGTTTCTGAGATATATATTTTGTAGATCATAAAATGTATCTTTGATAATTTTACAAAAATGTACTAATGGTAATTCCAATACAAAAATGTACTGATGGTAATTTCATCGCAAAACTGTATTGATGGTAATTCCAATATAAAAATGTGCTGATTGTAATTTCACTACAAAAACATACAGATGGCAATTTCAAGACAAAACTGTATTGATGGTAATTTCAATACAAAATGTACTGATGGTAATTTTAACATAACACTGTATTGATGGTAATTCCAATACAAAAATGTACTGATGGTAATTTCAAAACAAAACTGTACTGATGGTAATTTCAATACAAATTCTACTGATGGCAATTTCAACACAAAACTATACTGATGGTAATTTCAATACAAAAATGTATTGTTTATTATAAAAATGTATCAATGTGTTGCATTGATTGTCCTTTTGCTATAAAAATCTATTATTGGTCATTTTGCTATAAAAATCTATTATTGGTCATTTTGCTATAAAAATCTATTATTGGTCATTTTGCTATCGGAATATATTTTTGATTTTTGTCTCGCGGTTCACTATCTTCCCATAGCTGGGACCCTAACAGGTGCCGCTACTCGGAGTCGCAGTGGACCTGGGAGAAACAGCAATCAAGAATTGGTTCTACGCTCCAAAAATCTTCGAATCTCTCGATCAGATTCCTTCCTGCCGGATATAGTTAACTGTCATACCCAGGACGAGTGAGCTTCACCAGAAAGCCATTGTAACGATGCAAGGTTCAATTATCTTATTTCCCTAAAAAAAAAAAATAAATAAAAAAGAAGCCCAACTCTCGTTTAGACATTTCGAATTCATTTATTTTCCGAATTAAAAAAAATAGTTCAGGTTCTCTTCTGAATCTGCAACTATCTTCAGGGTTGGTTCTTTTCGGAGTCGTCTTGGCTCTCTTCAGAGGATGCTGTCGGTGTAATCTAAGATCTTACAGTGTAATAAATTGGAAAAGGGGGCAAACGTGTTGAAAAACGATGACGAATAAAGTAGAGAAGGAAAGAAAAGGACAAAAAGGAAGAAGAAACAAAGAAGAAAAATAAGAACGGATATTGGTTCGTTGATTTTGTTTAGAGGCACATCAACACCTCAATGGGTTATTTAATACCGAAATCTAAATATGTAATTTTATGCTTTCAACTACAGATATTTTGTATCTAATTTTATAATTTCGGAGTAAAGGTATGTTTTTTTAGATATATATTTCGTAGCTCATAAAATACATTGCTGGTAATTTTACAATAAAAAATGTATTTTGATATTTTTAGTGTTGCCGTGTTTATCATTTTGTTATTAAATATATTATTGCTCATTTTATAAAAAAAAATATACTGTTGATTCTTGTTTGGGGGTTCACTATTAGCCCATCCTTGGGACCCTAATAGGTGATACCACCCCCCGGTCAGGGTGGACCAAGGAACAACAGCAATTATAAGGTAGTTCCACGTTCCTCAAAAACTCGCAAACAGAGGTCTTGC